AATAGAGCTAGGTATTTTGGCTGCTAGCAAAATTAGGACTATAACACAGTTAAACACACAGGAATTTGAAGGCAGAGATTGAACCCAAGGTAGTTTGCACACAGATTTTGTGAGAGTCAAAGCACCTGGCTATTAAGCAAATTAAAGTCTGAGTCACAGACTGAAACAGATGTCAAGCTGGGAAAGACCCACCATCAGGTGATACCCTCCCAATCAGTTTCTTAGAACAGCTCTTTCACTGTATCTGTAACAAGATTTGCTCCTCCATAAGCATTGTATTGAGAAAGTCCACAGGGCATCTGATTGTGAAAACAGCCATGTCATTGGGCATAGTTTTGATAAGCCATTTGAGGCTGCCTAACACAAGGTAAATAGCTAGGTTGTGGTTCTAGAAGCAATTCATGGGAAAAATAGCAAGTTCTCATTTGGGCTCAAGTGAGATTTTTGGTGTGTGTCTTCCTGTCTAAAAGCATTCTTACCCAGTTAAATGTCTTTGGAAATTCTCAGTCATCCAGGTCATGGTTGTCCCAATGGTGTTTTTTTTCAAGAGGCAACTGGACTTTCTTGTTTTTTCTTTGAAGACATTTCACTTCTCATCCAAGAAGCTTCTTCAGCTCTGACTGGATGATGGGGAATGGAAGGATTTATATTCCTTGCAGACAGATGGTCATTTGCATTCTTTTAGAGAATTGTTAAGGCCACTTGGAGGTTTATCTGTGTCTTCAAGGTCACCTCAGTAGTGCAAATGGGTGTAGAGCCTTCTTGGAACTGCTGAAAGGACTGTGTTGCAGAGAGAAGATAGATGATGTTGTATTCCCCCCCCCGTTAAGAGAGGGCTGTTCAATTTTGACAAAGATAGCCTCTTTGACCCCTCTTTCAAACCCGCAATCCACTCTGCCCAAAATGTGGACTTTGCTGTGTTCAAAAGAGTGGCCTTTGTTTCAAGATTCAGCAGTCCATCTGCATTTAAAAAACAATGCCCACTCTTTTGAAGACAGCAAAGTCCACATTTTGGATAGAGAGGGCCACT